AATTAGTAGCCTACGTAGGATTTGAACCTACATTTTCTAAGAGTACAGTGCTGGACCAATTGAACTAATAGGCTAATAATTTAAACTAGTAAATACTTGGCTATAAACTTCATTCAAAGCAGGTGCAATACCAGTCTCACTATCTGATGTGATCTTGAACTTTTATCATTCAAGGCAGTCTCCTTTACTTGCCTTTGAGCTGCAAAATTAGAGCAAAACATACTGGAGCAATCAAACTGAGATAAGTTTTGTTCAAATAAGCAAAAAGTTATTATACTGTACCTTAATCTAAGCCCTGTTTGATAAGCCTCTGATGCTAACAACCAATTTTATTTTTTTTATAAATGCCTTAATACAAATGCAAGAAACAAATTAAATCTAAAACGTATCAGATACGGAGAATATGGCAACAAGTACCTCAGGATCATCCAAAAGTCGAACTGTACCAGAACTACGATACAAAAGATCAACTACAGTCTCATCGTAGGTCTCTAAAGCAGATATTTTCACAGAAAAATTTATTTCCACTTGCTGCAAGAATAGTATAAAGTATCAAAACCAGCCTTCGAAACTAGATTACAGTAACATATACTACAAACTCTGTTGTGATATCAGCAATTGTTGTCATTTCAAAATTCACAAGATATTAAGAAATTCAAAATTAACATCCAACATACAAATGCCACGTAACTAGACATGTCAATTCCTGACCCGATCCGGTAATCCAACCTAGAGCTGATCAAGTATGGCCCGGCCCGATTTTGGACGGGTTTTGGGCAGAATTTTTCGGCCCGATTTTTTTGGACGGGTTTGTGAATGTGTTTTTATGCATATTTAGTTGATTTTTTAGGCTCGGCCCGACCATTTTGGGCACAAAAATTCGGCCCGAAGCTTGGCCTGGCTCGAGAAATGGCCATAATTTTCAGCTCCGGCCCGACCCGCCCAATGATCACTTCTAATCCAACTCGATCTGATTACAAATCCGATTTATTGAAAGAGAACCCAAACCCAACCCGATCTAAATATCCTAAAATATAACCCGAATCTGATTTGTTGACCCGAATTGACAAGTCTACACATAACCATGGGCGGAGCTTGGGGGGGCTGGGGTAGGCCATGGCCTCCCCCTTGGCTTAATTTTTAATCTTTTTTTACAAATTGTTATTAATTGTTCTTCTTTGTAGCCTAGTTGGCTTTTGATGGTTGCAAAGAGAATCTTGCAACTACTATAGATTGGAGTTCAAATCCTGCTTCTAATCTTTGCTATTTTTTTTTTCTCCTCCTTGTATTGCTAATTTAACTACTCATATCATTCCACATGTATTAATCACCATAAGAATTTAGTTATTGGGCTTTAGGATTTATAAATGTATTTTCATTTTTCTTACTAATTAGGCTTTAACCTCTTTTTTTAAAAAAAAAAAAGTTTAAGCTTTGAAACTTCTTTGTGCGTTGTAATAAGAAAAAGAAAAAAAAATTACAAACTTGGACCTCTGTATCAAAAATATTTGGCCTTGTGAAAAAAATTAATATCAAACTTGGCCTCTCTAATATAATTTTTCTGGTTCCGCCACTGCACATAACCAATGTAAAACAAAGACCACAAATATAACAGGAACAATCCTAAGCAAATTAAGCTTATATTTTGCATATACTGATATATGTCCTCAATTGATAACATATACAAAGTATTTAAGAGAGTGAGTGATAATTCAAGTGGTTAGAGCTTCTTTCTATGTTCCAGGTCACCCCCGCCCTTGTGGCTCTCTAAACACCAAAAAAAAAAATACAAAGTATTTAAGCCTAGGTAAAATATATATATATATATATATATATATATATATATATATATATATATATATATATATATATATATATATATATATATATATTGTGAATTAAAAACAAACTTAAATTTTGTAAACAAAACACAGCAAATTTATTATTTTTTTACATGAACAGCGTAAAATTTATCTAAAAGCACATTAATTTAGCCTATTGATAACACAAGAAATTGTAAATGAGCAAATTCAACGATTTATGAAACATTAATTAGCAAAATTAACACAAAAATAAATTTCATAAAAAAAACAAAAAATCATCAAACAAACCCTTAAATAACATAACGATTGATAACAAATTTAAACAAATGTAAACTTTTTTTTTAAGCAAAATAAGTACTCAAAATCAATAATGTTACCCAAAAAAAAAAAAAGTTTCTCATGTATATCTTTTCATATTGTTATTCATGTAGAAATCTTATGAAGCATTTTCCTATCATCATGCTTACTGTTGAAACAACTTACTACGTATATACTTGCCTAAGCTAAGCAATGATAATTATCAACTTTTCTCAATCTTCTTTCATAAAAAAATCTTTATACTTTATAATAAATGAGAAGTCGATTTATCCTTAATTATCAATAATGCAATACTCTTTCACATGCGCAAGTTTATCAAAATTTTATTTTTATTTGATTGTTTGAGTGTTCTAAGGAAGTAATTAAACATGGAGAAGAGTTATGCAGATCTTCCTCTCGAATTGACGATCACATTAGTGGAGCACGTTGAGTGTCATGAAGATTTTGAAAATTTTGGTTTAGTTTGTACCAATTGGAGAAACGCAATGAAACTTACCTCTAGATTCCGCCAGAACCCTTGTATAAATACTCTTCCAAGGCTCGATTTTACCGACTCTACAACCACTCGATTTGGCGCGAGAACTTGCCATCTCTAGACGATGAGAGTGACCGTAGCAATGATAGCGAGGAGGATGAGAGTGATGATGACGACGACTACTACGAAACTTGAATTCTTCGCGAGGGTGGCTAGTTATCCTGGATTATTATTTGGGTGCAAGGAAGGCAAATGTATCTCTAGTGCACCCTTTTACTAAAGAAAGAATTAGAATTTCTTCCCTTTCATATAAGGAAGATGCAAACGCTTACAACAACGCAATTTTTGCTCTTTCGGAGTGTCCAAATTCAACCGCTTCTCATTACACGCTTGCTATTATTTTCGAGTCTTGGACCATATCCCATCTTGCCGGGTTTTGGAATAGCAAGGGCAAGACGTGGGTTATGATCACGGAACTTCCTTATGTACAAGATGTCACTGATATCACTTCTTATAATGGCGAGTTCTATGCTGTCAATAGCGAAGGGAGAATGGTTGTAGCTAGTGGATTCGATGATGTTATTCGACCTCTGATTAAAAGACGCACTTGGGAATCGGAGGAATTAAGTAGGTGGAACAAGGTATACTTGGTGGAATCTTCAGGGATGTTATTACAAGTCCTTCTTTTCTATGACCGAGCAATTTCGAGATTCAAAGCTCGGGAGGTGAATGTTGATAACGGGGAGACTAAAGAACTGAAGAGTTTGGGGAGTAGAGCGCTTTTTTTGGGTCCTAATTCTTGTTTTTCAATGGAGGCATCTCCCCATTGTTGTAAGCCTAATTGCATATACTATGTTAGTGATTTAGGACTTCACAAAAACATGGGCGTCTATGATTTAACCTCTGCCCAAACAATCGAGGACTACATTGATCCAATGTTGGCAAATTTAGGAACGTCTTTTTGGGTTGAGGTACCTTCTGGCTTTCCATATTCTAGGCTATAGTAACAAATCATTTGTATCGCGTCCTAGTTCTTTATTACTGTATAATAGTTTCGAATGTTAGATGATTCAAGATTTCAATACGTATTGCACGATCCATGTTTTTGATTGAGAAATAAAAGTGTCCATTACTTAAAACTTATTGAGTAAAATTGGTATTGTAAACTTGTACTAGTATATGTTGTGAACTCTTGGCCTCAAGTCTATGCTTCACGATACATACATTTGCAATGAATGGCCGATTGGCCTCGCGAAGGTGAGAAACACTAAATGCAAAAACCTTGGAACCTGACTAATTAGATGATCTTGAGCTCATAACGAACAACTTGGCCATCTATTCCAAATTCAACCAGAGTATCATCTATCTGAAAATTCCTGAATATTTTGTTTTGTAAAATCGCTGAGTGATCAGGGTCATAGAGAAATACACTCCAAAGCATTGATTTGGCGTACAAGGACCACTTTAAAATCATGATCTTCTGCCTTAATCTCGTTTATACCATGTAAACAGTTGATAATAAAGTTTGTCAAATTAATGAATCAATGTAAAGATGTATTTCGTATATTCTTGCCTAGGAGGTCTGCCACAGGAACCGTACTCGATCGCATCAAGTTATGACTATTCAGGTCCTTAAATGGCACAGCAAGACACTGCACTGAGTCAGGAAGCAAAAGAAATCTTCAAAAAAAACACTACTAATTATCTCCGTAGTAACTAAGCTCAACATGAAATCGTATCATGCGAAATCATTTCTCATTGCAAGTATGGAGCATTCAGGAACGGAGGAAGTAATTACCAATCCACCTATTGTAAAACCAACACTAGAATAAATTCGTTTTCTGTAATTTTTTGTCAATTGGGTTCATGGTGCACATCATGACCTCAAGTGCAAGAATATAACTTTTAATACAAAACAATATATTCATATATTAGGGTTGAACAAAAGACTTAGTAAGTGCTATATGTACACATAATTGTTTAATATTTATGTGTAAATTTTAGGATTTCTTTCCAAAGTGAGCTTAATTCACAAAGTATTTTGCAAAGTAGACTCATGGCAAAACTATTTACCAAACTAAGCTTCCAGGGTAAAACGCTGTCTCGGACAGCGTTTTATACCCTGGTTTTTTTTAAAAAAAAAAAATTTTAAAAAAAAAAAACAATGTGTAAAACGTTGTCTCACATGTTGACTTTTTTCTTTTTAATTTCGTAATTTCTAATTTAAAATTTTCTAATAAAAAAAATTGAATATGTAAAACGCTGTCCCAAATTTTATCTAAAAATGTAATAAAGCTTACTTTGGAAAATGATCCTAGATTTTATCTAAAAATGTACATAATCAATGTAAATTTATCTACAGGCCTAAAAGAAAAACTCAGATGGAACACATATTAACATGTTTTCACTGCCATAAAAAATGAATTATAACATATCACCAAATAATTGATCTTCCAGATCCTTAGCATACTCTAAATCATAATCTTGCTCTTCATTAGGTGCCGAATCCAGCTCAGTTGGAGCCTGTTGAAAATCGCCATCGGCCAACGGTGATTCATTTCCCATAAGAAGCTCCATGAAACCAGTGTGTTGTAACTCATCGTCACTTTGCTGCTGTTCGGTGGCAGTAAGTAGCATTGGTTGCTCGTGCTGTCTCTCTCTTCTCTCGTGATGAGTTACAACAGGATGCTGGTTTGTTCTTATAAACTGAGAGAACATTTCCTTTTGATTTCCCCACTCCTCATTTATCTTTTGCACTTCATCTTCAATTGTCAGCTTATCTTCTGCGATATGCTTTATGTTTTCGATATCGACTACCCTACCAGCCTCTACAAAAGAAACAAGAAAAAATTGTTTTACCAAATTAGCAAAAATGAGGACCGGGAATCACCTACGTATTCAGAACACAAAATTCAGGATACCTTTACAATTTATCTTTTCTAGAAACTGATCTTATACTTGCCTTAAAGGCTAAAGTTGCTAACCTAAAAATACTCCGGAAACCTGGGGCAAGTTGTCATTTCAGAAACATGAGATTGAAATAAGGTTATAGGTGTCATTTATACAAGAGTATTAGAGTAATCAAGACACAGGACATGGTTCCTATGAGTGTATAGTGTCAAGAGCTCAAGACATGGTTGCATCTTTGGTTAATGGCCTATCAGTAACAGGGTTCAATAAATCAAGACAAAACAGGGGAAAATATTCAAGACAAGGCACACAGAACTTGTGATAACTTTTTGGAATAATGAACCTGACCGAGCGACAAGCAAAGTAATGGAATAAAATACCACTGATAGCAAGATTTTTAGTTCCTTCATATTCTTTGGACATTTTCCTGAGCACTTCAAGGTCAAGTTCCATGCCCTGTTCCAGAAGTTCAAGCAATTAAGAAACAATCAGCAGTGAAATTGCTTTCATAAATTCAAAAGAAAAACGCTCAGAGTACCTCAGACATGCATTTTCCATTAACTAATAATTCACCAAACAATTATACAAGAAAGTTCAAAAGATAGCAGAAAGAAGAATGAAAGAAGAGAAACAATTGCTTAGAACAAGTGATCACAATCTTGTAGAAAAATTTATATTTTATGCTCACACAAGTTCGTACCCAAAAGAGGAAATAAAAACAGCTATCCAAGTTATTTTAGGTATGAGCAAAAAAAAAAAAAAATACTGATAACCTCCTCAAAGTGGTTCATTAATGACTCAAAATAAGCAACTTTTAAGGTTTGAACCTGTTACTAAACCAAGTAAAACTATAGATAAAAAAACTTGCGAATATATTAAGTGGACAAGCATCACAAACTGGGAAAGAGGGTAAGGCGCTTTGGAGGTCTAGACATATCTAGGTTTCATAGTGATAGTGTATGTGTGTGTGTGTGTGGACTATGTCAGTGAGTGTGCTTGTGACTCTGTCTGTGTCTGTGTGCGATCAATATGCTTGGGCATCAATCTATATGACAATGATATCATGAGACATTACGAAAATTATAAAATACAATCAACCAGAAACCTGAAATCACAAAAGTATGCAGCATACCATGTCCAGGTGAAGATAACGCTCAATCTCCGTATTTGCCAACAATCTACAAAAAGGAAAAGCAGCAAGATGAGGTCATAAAGAAGCTGGATAAAGTTATAAATCTTAATTTATGAGTGTTTGGCATACTTTTCATGCATCTTCTTTATGCAGGCATTCTGCACATCTACCAACTCCTTTATCCTTTCCTTCTCAGAATAATCATTTATGTTGACAAAGCCAAACAAAAATGCATTCTTCTCTAGCATCCTTTTGACCAAAACAGATACCACTTTGATTCCATTTTCTTTCGCATTTACAACAAGAGCTTTTAGTCTTTGTAATTCTCCTGTCAAGTCCATCAAGAGGAGGTTACATGACTTTCATCTCAAAAAAAAGGTGGAGAGTGAAAGGATGTATGTTAATCAATCAAATAAGACATGAGCACATCTACTTGCCCACTGTTAATGGGACAAGAAATATAAGATGTTTTCGTAATACACCAATTATTCGGACCAACTTTTATGATTTCTAGTGACCTTATACTTTATCAATTTGTTGGTGAAGTGTGTAGTAAAGAAAAAATTAACACGTCCATTATATTAGACTGCATGGGTCTGCATTTCTGCAAATCCATATTCGTACCTAAAATGAGTGTCTTTGAAGAAAACTAATTTCCCAGGATCACTTCAGAGGAAAGCAATTATGAAGAATATATTTAGGTTTCCAGATAATAAGTTATAAGCAACCTGAAAAAGGCAAGAGTAATCAATTAAAGGGAGGAAAGGCAAGAGTAATCAATTAAAGGTAACTTCTTCAGCTGTGACTTGATTAACTTTGTATATCATTTAAGTCTCAACAATGAAGTGACGGAAGTTAAAATACTCGTACAAAAAAGCAATGACTCACCAAGAGATAGATAAATCTTGAAGGGAGGCTGGAATGGTTGTGTCTCATAGAGACAATAGAGGGCATAGAGGGCACCCAATCTCAGTGACAAAGAATTAGTGGAGACCATGTAACCTACACATGATCACAGAAAGATAAAGGTCAAAAGAATTCGTCAAACAACAAAAAAATAATTGAATTTCAAACAGTCAAAAGGCAGTGAATTGTCAAGACTCAAAACTTCAAAAGGGACAGAATATCAGCCATCAGAGTTATAGACCTGATAAGTAAAGGACAATTAGAAGACTATTAACCTGAACTTGACTCTGAACCGATTTTCGATAATATGATTCATACCATGCATGAAATCTCATAACATCAAAAAAAAAAAAAAAAAAAAAAAAAAAAAAAAAAAAAAAGAGCCAATATATCATACATGTTAAGGAATGGTGAAATGATGGATCAAAACCAGGGGTTACTTCTTATATGAATCCATTATACAATAAGTATGTATACAAATTCACTGGATCCTATTTGCGTTTCGAGGAACATAATTTAAAACTTCAGATTATCAATCCTTTTCTACAGTTGACTCACATTTTATCAGTTCAATTGTTGCTTCTGTACCTTATGTGTTTCCATAATTTCCACTCTGCTAGGCGCTAGCACTAACAAAGAAAATTGGATTCACAATTCACAGCTGCATCCATTTTCTCTAACACAATTTTGACATTTAATTTTATTTGGGTATCCTGTGTATCAATGCATAACACTCGTTTGGAAGATGATTAACTTGTTTGTGCTGCCAATCTATCCACATCTAGCCCACAGGAGTTTCTAATATTTCCCCTTTTCAACTATTTAATCCTCACCCCATCTAGTGAGTAGTGAGCTACAAAGATTCAGGCATTACTCTCTTGATTTAAACACAAGCAATGTTGATTCTAACGCTATGCACATCAGTTCTGCGGATAATGCTAGCCTTATCAAGTTAACTATGCAATCAATAGCTAAACATTATAAGGAAAGTCGTTAATCAACAGTAGCCATCACAAATTCACAAGACTCCATTCAGTGCTGGCTGGAAAAATTAAAAGCACTCTTCTTTAGGAAGATGTAACCTCAAAGCTACTGAGATGTGTCATTTAGGAACATTACATTCCTCTCATCTCTTGTGCAGTACATTTGACCTTACTTGGTCTGTTCTCAATAAACAGCAAGCCCTTTGGCTCGTAGTCTTCTCTAGTACCTGTTTTGGTGTTTTTTTAATAGTCTGTGCAGCGTATTTCTTTTGTACAGCAGAAAAGTGGCAATATTGCACCACATGTACCAATATTTCTTCTGTAGCCATAATCAAATTTATGCAAGCTCTTTAACAAACATTAAAGGATGGACAGTGCTGCAACTAAGGGAAAGAGAAAAGGTCCTATACTATAATGGAACAATCACAAATTCCGCAGCCATTTGCTTATTAGTCCAGCTAACTGACTTCATAGTTAACTACAACTCACAATAAAAACAGAATATAGGAAAGACTGACGCTTTGTTTGGATAGCAAATAAAGAAGGAAAGGAAGGGGAGGGAAAGAGGAGGAAGGGAAAGGAAATGAAAGGGAGGGGGAGGTGAGCTCCATTTTTCCTCCAAATCTCTCCAAATTTGGAGGGATTATGCTTATTAAAGAGAGGGAAAATGGATCCCTCCCTCTCCTTTCCCTTCCTTCCCCCAATCTTTTACCCAAACAAGAGAGTTTGTCCCCCTCCCTTTCTCTTCCCTTCTTTTCCTTCCATTTCCTTCTATCCAAACAAAGTGTGAAAGAGGTGTTCAGAAAGGAAAAAAAAAATGGAAAATTGGTCAATTACAACAAATGCACATAATGAATGAATATGGGACATAGATAAACCCTGCTCCCCGAATATTTGTAAAGGACAAAGAACACAAGTCAAACTGCAGAGATGTTAATGAAAATATTATATATCAATAGTAAAACCCTGAAAATTGAGGCTCTAGGAGAGTTCTCTTCTTGCGTCTGCTATAACTATTCCAAACAAGGATAGCGGGAACCACAATCCAGTTATCAAGAAGCACTGACCATTAAGCCTTCAACTGAATTACCAACTCTCTTAATTAGCAAACAGACTGACAGCAGTATGTTCGTGTGATGAGTCATGAGTAGCATGACATAATTTTTGTATGTTCCATTAAGATAAGTATTAATCCAATTGAAATGCAATTGAACTCTCCTAAAGCCTTAAACTTGGTAAGCAAGCTGAATATATTACAGTTCTTTTACATTTTCAGTCTTTTGGTTGAATCTTACAGAAAAGTTGGCATAAATCCTAATTAAGCTATATACAATAATTGACATTCAATTATAGTTCATAATTTTAGAGGAATAACTGGCTATACATTCTTGAAATGATGAAAAGTTCACCTTGTTGATCAAACATACAAGATGCATCTTAGGAACAAACTAACGCCATTGCATCATTAAGCATCAAAGAAGTAACTTACTTATAGAATGGTTGTACAAGACTTGCATAAATATGTTCAAGCCGGTAGAAGGCCGAGCCTCAAATATGTAGGAAAACTTCCGTTCAAGCCACAATTTTTTCATGTCTACTAAAGTTTTGAGCTCGCCCTGCATGCCAAAAAAAATACAATTAGTTAGTTATCAAGACAAAAACATGCTTTTGGCGTTTTGCATTTAACTATACAAGATTGAAATCAATGCAGTATTGGCAAGAGCAAAGCTATGACAGTAATTCCCCTTCAAAAATCTGGGAGATTATAAATACAATCACGTGAAAGAAAATCAATCCAACAAGAAACAAAGCATACAGGCTAACACAAATGGGACAGAGAAGGAAAGTGACAATATGACAAAAGATTCTAACACCTCCCTCTTAAATAAAAGGCCAGAAATTGACTAGTAATGTCTAATCAATTTGAACTGTGGACATCATTAATTGTATGGCCACAAAAGACATACCTCAGAAAACTCTTTTAAAAGCTCGTCCAGATCCAGCTTGAAGGGAGAAAAATCCATTGTATAAGATGTCACTCAATCAAGTTAGTTCCCTGCTTTCTGGTCAAGCTCCAACATGTAACACTAGCCTGCATACAATTGAATGATTTATCACGTTATTTATATTCTATATTGATAACTCATAGAAGAAAATTATTTAATTATGAGTCAATTTCAGTCAGATGCTTTCAAGGGCTCTAATAAAGCTTCTCTTTTTTTATTCAAACATCATATACAATGAACGATGAAGATAAGAGAAAACAACAACAGCATTGAGGTAAGTACTCTTCTTGGAAAAGAGAAATCCCTCCCCGTTAGTAGTTTAAGTAAGATCAATTCAACAATTAACTTGTGATTTATCATAGTTATTAGGGAAATTCTTTTTTAATTTTAAAAATTCTTATTATCCGTGGTAAACTCTAATTTGTTAAACTAATCCAATGGTGACATTAATGATGATTGTATGCAATTATGAGTCTAACTCTAGTTAAATTTTTTAACCATGATTAGTTCTTAAATTTTTTAATAGTTAAATTATTTTATAAATAAATTAAGAAATAAAAATCGAACCAACCCAACCCAAACCCTGCCGGCGGCAGCCCCCCTCCCTCTCCCCTGCTAGCGCCCGTCCCCTACAGACCAACCATCCCCAAACCCTGCGTCGGCCGACAAGAGGCGACCTCACTCCCTCCTTTCCACACCTCGACTCTCAAGTCTCAACCCCTCACCCCGATTCACATCATCCTCTTCCTTCACCAATTTCTATGGAAAATTATCACCATAAACATGAATTCAACATCAAAATGATGATATTCAAGCTCACGAAACCTCTTGAAATGATTAAATCGGCCAGAAATTGAACGCGAAACCCTAATTTCTGCTTGGGCTTGGGTGACAGCGATTGAATCGGAAGTAAACGCGAAACCTCTTGAAGTAATTGAATCGGCCGGAAACGGAAGTAATTGAATCGTCGATAGGGCTGGGCCGGTGACAGCGGTGATGCGTTGACATTGAGGTTCGTCGCTTCAGCGAGGTTTCAAGACGAAGGTGAGGAAAGGTGGGTAGGACGGGGGAGGAGGAGGGGGCAGGATCGAAAAAAGACGCCAGCGATTGAAGGTAAAGGTCGAGGGAGGGGAGGTGGTTGGCTGATTGATGCTGCTGTATGGTTGCGATACTGGCTCCTGTCGGTTGAGGGGGAGGCCGGCACGCCGGCAAAAGAGGGGCTGGGCGCCAGCGTGGGTGGGGGCGGAGAGTGGTGGGCTGGTGGCTGATTGGTGGGGGAAGGGGTGGCTTTTTTTTAAAAAAAAATTATTTCTTTTTTTTTTAAGTAAAAAAAATAATAATAAAGTAAATAAATAAACTAACTCTAGTTAAATATTTTATTACAATTATCATTAACGTCTTGGTTAGCTTAATATAAAAAATTCGATTTACCAAAAGATAATAAGAATTTTCGCAATTCATAAAATTAAAATGTTATCAAAGAGAATTTCCCAAATGTAGATGCCGATATATTACATGGTTTTTCCAAGTCGGACACTAAATGATACTGCATAATACTTCGTAACAATTCTGCCTCAACCTTATAATTCCATCCCTACCATATTATCAAGACTATCAACTCATCAGCCTCTAACACTTGCACTCGATAACTAAATCGCCGTCAAAATCTTCTAGACAACAATTTTCTACCAAAAAAAAAAAAAGCGTGTCAACAGGACGAGTTCTTCTTTCCCTATATGTGTTATAACTAGTTCGGTTCATCGCTGGAAGAACAAAACATATATATGCAGGCCCGTCCCTGAGGAAGGGCAGGAGGGGCGGCAGCCCTGGGCCCAGGGAAAAGAGCTCTGATTTCATAGTTGAATCCTAACATTAAAGTATTGTGCAATACATTAGCAACCAAGTTTGATTCAATTATCTCATAATTTTAGGGATATTTGATTCAATTATCTCATAATTTTAGGGATATTTGATATGATGATAACAAATACAAACAACTTACCTCAGAAGCTGCTTCAATGGGGGATACAAGAAGTAGATTCAACGGAGAACGGCAACTGCTCTTCAATGGAGAACGGCAACTGCGCTTCAATAGAGGAATTCAATGGATTGGACGCCTTGGATCCCTATTAAAAGCCAGACCCATGACCCGCCACAGTTATTAATGGGTTAGATCCGTCTAATAAATAAATGGGCCGAGTCTTTATACGATCGTCCAATTATGGGACATACCTTTAAAGGGTTTAGAGTAAACCTGTTTTAAAAACTACGGAGTATTAGTTTATCTTTACACTTCCATTTGTCTGTAATTTTTTTTGGTTTTTTTTAAAAAATTTTGAAAACGACGAAATTACATTAATTAAATTGAGTTTACAACAAACGAAAGAAAAGTAGAGTAACATAAGTCTATTACAAGTTATTATATCTTAAATATGGTTAGGATGAGTTTTCCACAAAAAAAAAATGTGGTTAGGATGACTCTTTTGTCGTGGCCATCATTGCAAATTAATCGTGTCATGTGAAGTGTGAACTATGCAATTGTATAGCTGTCAGTGAAGTGTGAACTATGCAATTGTACATGTAGTGTTACCTTTGCGGTTTTAACATCAGTTGACGGTCACCTACATTTATTATAAATGCAGTTGTAAACTAGCAAGTGTAGAATTGTATGAGTTAGTTAATTGTATGAGTTGGTTAGTGATCTGTGTAAAACATAAAATTATTAGTGAATAACTTTGGAAGTGACAAATTTAATACTTTAAAAAAAAAAAAAAAAAAAAAAAAAACCCATTTAGATCAACCGAAGAAATTTCCAAAATGCGAGAAGGGGATTACATCACTCCACACCCATTGGCCAAACTCCCATGGTTGAAAGTAAGTCAATTTGTGAGCTACATTATTACCCCCTTGCTTTACAAAAGACCATGAATCACTAGTAAAATTAGAAAAAAAAAATCTAGAATATCCTTTATAATCAGATGAAAGGAATTGTAGCCATACAAACGCTTCCTCATTGCCTCAATCACCACCAGATTATCACTCTCGATCCCAATGCAACTCAATACCCTTGTGTCTCGCAATCTTCATGCCCCAAAATATCACTTTCACCTCTGCAATCTTAGTCTCTCATTTTTCACTCCACTACATCGTAGCTCTCCAAAGCACCACCCCCTCACTATTCCTGCAGATTGCACCCAGCCCCATCCCCACCTCCCCCAAAACACCAGCATCAACAATAATTTGAACCACACCAAATGCTGGAGGAGACCCGCCCACAGAGACACTCTTTCCACCCCTCCATTCCCCACGTTATTCAACTTTCCCACCTCATGCCCCTTCGTATTAATCTTCAAAGCATAGGCAACAATTTGCTCAACATTCGGATTTCACCCTCAATCACACATTTGTTCCTTGCGCCCCACATAGCCCAACACATGGTAATTAAACTCACCATATCCTCTCCAAAATTACCAAAATAGTGCTCCCACCAGTCACCCATACTACAAAGAGAGTGAGACAAAACCATAGGATAATTGCACTTACTCCAAATTGCTCAGGCTAAACTGTAATCTTTTTAACATGTGCATGACAGATTCTTCTTCTCTCTGGCAAACACCACAAGCTAGTAACTAGGGCACAAACTTACTACATAAAAATTAGCTATAAAATCTTATGTGGCCTAAAAGCTAATTTGCTAATTAGCTTACCATTGGAGTTGCTCTAATACTCCATATGTTCCTTTTATTAGATACATTTTGACTTTACACCCTAGTGTTCCAACCAGTCTAGCGAACACCCACCCAAACCCTAACTCTAACTCTGATCTCGAACCCCACTTATTTGGCGAACTCCCACCCAAACCCCAACCCTTACTTTCAAACCACACTTATGCGGCGAACTCCCACCTAGCCCCAACCTAGCCGATCGATCGAACCCACACAACTCCCACCCACCCTAGTCGGCACAAACCTATGACCACCCAGTCCTCCACACCAAACCCGACACCCCAATCTTTTTAAAAAATTATTTATTATAATTAAAATTAAAAATATTTTTTTGTATTTAAAATTAATATTAAGCTATATTTTGTTTTTAATTAAATCAATTCTTATTTAATTGAGAGTTAATTATAGTATAAGTTAATTGATGACTTGTTTGACCGGTCACAAGTCAAATCTAGTACTTAAATTATTTATGGAATATAGACATCAATGTTAGACTTATTTTTTAATTTATTAAAGTTGACTTAATATTGGAAGATCACCTAAAATTCGATTTATTGTGGTTATTTTTTCATTATTTTATTTTATTAGACTTTCCTTTTACTAATCATCTGTATATGCATTTCTATTTTACACAAATATTTTCCATACGAGAATGACAAAAAAGGAAAAAAAAATGGTGTATTATCACACCAAGAATCAACACAAATTTTTTTAGTGTGTCATTAAGTATATAGTTATTGATATATATATTTATGGATAATTGATTGGTTATTATTTATTGATGATTACTAGTTATTTATTTAAGTAAATATAAAAATATGATATTTAATTATATTTTTTTCTAACGGATAAATCACAAAAGAAGGTTAAGAGTGAAGTGTGAATGAAAATGTCCAAATGGTGCAATTAAAGAAAGGGAGAAATTATTTAACAAATTACATAAAATTATTTACGAATTAACAAATTACAGAACTATTTAACAATTATATAAATAAATGATTTTTGGGATATTCTCAATGGTAACCCCCAACATGTGCTACGCACCAATGGTAACCCCTCTTTTTTTGGATTATACAAAATGACCTTAATTTAATTTTTTTCAATCACTCATAACCTTATTTCATTAAATTTATTAACTATAGTTAGATTTATATTTAAAAAAAAAAACTAATAAAATTAACCCAACCACCTGCCCAGCCACCACCACCAAAAAACCCACCCACCATAACCCAGCCGTAGCCACCGACGAGCCCTTCCCCCTTCCCCCCAGAGTGTCGTAGCACAACCCCTTCCCCGACCACCCTCCCCTTTTCCCTTCCCCGACGGTTAGCAATTCTTGAAAACTGCTGGAATTGAAGAATCGAGCCTGCCGGAATCAAGCCTGACAGAATCGCGCCTGCCGAAATTGCGGTGGCTGGAATTGTATTCAACTTGCAAAAATCAGCCGGATTTACCTCTCAAAATTGCCGGATTTCGCAGCGAAACTAACGTATCTAGGCTTGCAATGTTGGCGGATTTTGACCTCGAAATCATCGGTTTTTGACCAGCGAAGGTTGCCGGAATTTCGCCATAATCAACTGAAGGTTGCCGGAACGCCGAGATCTAGGGTTTCGATTTTAGGGAATTCGTTTTTGGGGTTTTAGGGTGTCGAGGATGGTGGTTTAAGGGGAAAAAGTGGGTAAAGATGGACGAATTAGCTTCGTCGGCACAGGGGATGGGGTTTGGGCAGGTGGGGGTGGCCGGAAATTGGAAAGGGACGGGAAGGGGATGGGTTTTTGGGTAGGGTGGCCGGAAGGCAAGTGGGGAAGGAGGCTGGGGAGGTGGTGGCCTGAAGTTATGGAGGGGGAAAGGGAAGAAGAAGAAAGGGAAAACCGTCGGTGGCTACGGCTGGGTTATGGTGGGTGGGTTTTTTGGTGGTGGTGGCTGGGCAGGTGGTTGGGTTAATTTTATTATTATTTTTTTTAATATAAATCTAATTATAGTTAATAAATTTAATGAAATAAGGTTATGAGTGATTGAAAAAATTAAAATAAGGTCATTTTGTATGATATGATCATTGTGTAGGATAGCTATCGCAAGATCTTTTCTCTCTTTGTTCAAAACTCCCGCGCGATGTAATGCAAGTCTATAAAGCAGGCCCCCGTTAATTCCTTTGAGTTTCGGTCTTGCGACCGTACTCCCCAGGCGGAGTGTTTCACGCGTTAGCTGGGCCCCTGATCCGTGTAGACCAAGGGCGAACACTCATCGTTTACGGCATGGACTACCAGGGTATCTAATCTTGTTCGCTCCCCATGCTTTCGCACCCCAGCGTCAGTAGGGACCCAGAAAAAAGAGGGGTTACCATTGGTGCGTAGCACATGTTGGGTTTACCATTGAGAATATCCCATGATTTTTTTAACTATCATTTTGCCCTAGGTTCATCATCAGACTATTTCATCATGCAAATTTGATTTATCAATGAAAGAACCAGTTATGTACCCCTCCAACAGAATTCAGTTGTCATTTCACCATGATAGAGAATCACAACATAATAGATGATAACTTAAAATCAGATAATATTGACAAACAAAATTCATAATCATCAAAAGGATGAAAATGAAAATAAAAAATTGGAGCCAAACTTCAAATACATAAGCAGAACAAACATAAAGAGGTAAGCTCAAAAACTCATATTGTCAACAAAGAAAACACTCAGCTAAATCGGAAAACAAACCCTAATTAAAAAAAAAAATTAATCATGAAACTAACAATTAAAACTACTTGTAAAACTAAGACGAAAACAATTAAAATTTAGGGTTTGAAGTTTAGACGAAAACTTACAAATTCAGCGATGGAATGAAGAGAACGACGGTGTGGAGAGATGAAGGAGCGCCGTCAACGGCGGAGCGGTGGAGTAGGGCTTCTGGGACTGGAGAATGAGGTTTGGAGGAGAGAGAAAGTGATAATGGGCTTGGGAATTGGATGATTGGATTGGGCCTTTGAGGGATTGAAAGTACAAGACCAATTGACCTTGATGAATTAAGGAAAAAGAGAGAATGATTGAGATTGTTTAAACTTTATTTAGGGGATGTGCTTTATCGGATCAGAAGCACTCATAAGTCAATTTAGTTGGGATGTTAATGGTATATTGGTATGCGGGTTGTATGGACTAGAAATTCTAACGACATCTACAAAAAGATTTAAATTTAATAAATACATGACAAATGAATAAAATAAAAGCTTCCTTTCAGCAGAGCTACGATCGTACATTCTTCATACCCTCTTTTATATCGCTGTGATTTACAGCCTTTTTCGAAGAAGGGTCTATCGATCTGTTGTAGTCGTACAGAAAATTTTCGTCTGATTCATCTGATTGTAATCGAAGGATTAACCTCTTTTACGATCCCGCACAAATCTTACCTTCAAAGAGTGTAGATTTATTGAACTCAATAACAAAAACATAAAGAAACTAAAGGAAAATAGCCAAATTTTCGGAGAAATTTGACTATTTTTGGCCTATGAAACAATTTTTATAAGAACCCTAGAGAGAAAAAATAAAGAGGAGACGGCTAGGTTTTTTTTTTTTTTTAATTTTTTTTTTTTAAATTTGTTATCACTTATTAACAAGGAAATTGGCAATTTAGTTTGAAATAATTGCTTTAAATGATGTATGTAATGGTAATCCCTTCTTTCTGTAAGTCCAAAGTTTAGTAAAGAATCATGAAAGCATTTGAGTTGAATTTATTAAAATAAAATATATGTAGGGTTTATTAGGGAATTAAAAATTATAGGAATATTTCATTTGGTACCACTGTAATTTAGGCTTTTCCATTTGGTACCCAATTTTTAATTTTATTCCACATGTTACCACTATATTTCTAATTTATTCTCTACTATAGCATTACATCAAAAATGTTATGTATTTTTCGATTTGGATGTCATAAAAATTGTTCGGTCAAATTAAGGTTTTTAGATGATTTGTAAGCCCTTAACGGCCTTAAGGTTCATATTTGAGGTCGAAATTAGCAAAAAAAATCGCTTAAAATGTCTTGATTTATGTACAAGAAAATGTCTTAATTTGTATATTTTAATTTGTTTCGTACAAAAAATGTTCATTTAAAGTTTTGGATGTAATTATGACCTTAAAGAATCAAAATTTGAAGTCGATATTACAAACAAAAAAAAAAAAGAGGGTGGGGGGGAGACCACAATCACCCTAAACCAGTGTTTTATTTAACGGGATGCTATAATAGGGAATAAGCCAAGATTACAATGGTACCATGTGGAATAAAAATATAAGTTGTGTATCAAATAGAAAAGCCAAACTACAATGTTATCAAATGAAAAATCCCAAAATTATAAAAAGGAGAACTTGAGTGGATAAAAGTAAGAGGGAAGATCATGATTCATGGTTGTAGAGGTATAATTAAATAGTGCAGAGGATTTATCATCAGCGATGCAAATTTTGGCTCGATACATTCATTCGATCACAAATCCTTATATGTGGTTGGCCACACAGTATGAGTGTATGCCTAGCTATCATGGGGGTTATTTTGTTAATATTATAGGGGTTACTCGATCAGTGTTATAGAGATTACTTTGTTATCTTAGTCGATTAGATTTTGGCTTGATACATTTGTTTATAGGGTTTTTATTATATTAAATAAAAAAAAAAGTTGCCAGATATCGACACAATACTACATAATTTCAATTTTTAAATGAGGGAAAAATAATGATCAGTGATGAAAATTCTTATCACAAATTGATCATGAATTCTGTAAAACATAAAGTTGGGATTATCTTTTCCATAGAGAGAAAATTACATCGGATGCATGTTAAAGTTTCCAAAAAGATTACAATTTTGTGTTCTTGAGATATTTAGCCAACCCAAAACCATAAACAGTGGAATGTGGGCAATGAACCCAGACAGACAGCTGGAACTATTTGAATAACTATATTAGTACAGCTTTAGCACCCCAATACTCTTGTCTATAATCTACACTATATATTATAAATATTTCCTCCTTTTTAAGCACATAATTTTTTATGTTGTATAGATCCAAAATATTCATCTTACTATGCTACAAATATATATATTTTTACTCCCACTATACTTTAAAAATCCTCTCATTTTTAATTTAATCACTCCTATAATATGTTTTATCAGTTATTAGTACTGAATTAATAGCATATGGCTGCTCTAATCACTAAGTTATTCTTCATTTTCTTCTTTTTTCTAGTGTTTGTCCCTATATTTGCTCATAACAATGAACTGATTAGCTGTGAAGGC